TATAGCATTGGTATGTTGGTGTGACGCCGAGCCGATGCGCTGAAAGAAAATCGAGGCGGAGGCTCCACGTCGAGTTCGGCCCTTGCGGGCCCTCGCCCTGCCCCGGGGCCCGTCAAGCAGCGGCCCGGGCTGCAGAACCCCTGGGGAGAGAAGCGGGACTCCCTGGGTCTGTACGGCGAGGGCAATGGATGAGGAGGTCTGGAAGCCGCTGGAGCTCCAGTCGTGGACTGGCCGTGGGTGTCACCGCCGCCCTCCTCAGGAAAGGAATTCCCAAGGGTCTGAAGCCTCCTGGGCACAGTCCTCCGAACAAGTGTGATAACAACACGTGTGATACAAATCAAGTGTGATAAACAAACAAATGTGATAAAAGAACAAGTGTGAAAAAGCACCGTGATAAAAAAGCTGTGACAAATCATGTACAAGCGTTTTGCAATCACAAATGTTATGTTATCGCACTTGCTTTTCTATCACATCTCGTTTTACCACTGCTGTTTGTATCACACTTGTTTCTTTCATCACAGTCTGTGTGATCACACCTGTCCAACGCCCCCGCCGCATCGAGAACAGCACGACGCCGCACGTCTGGGGAGGCGCAGGGCGAGGGCCGCGCGGCGGACAGAGAGGCGGGAGGCCCGGACGCCCTCGCGCCGTGGGGAGGCCTCCGCGCCGCTGCGCCCGGACGTGGCCGTGGCTCGCCCACACGGACAGGGAGCCTGCAGGGCCCGAGCCTCCGGCCGCCAGCTCCGAGCCCCCGTCGCGCCCTGGAGCAGCAGCGCGGCGACGGTCTTCGGCCGCGCTCGGCCCCCGGCGGGCCCCCGGGCCGTCGAGGAGCCGCACGGGATGAAAAGCTGGTCCCGAGGAATGGGCCGAGACCTTCAGGGCTCCGCGCCGCGAGAAGGACACGACGTGGGGGGGGGGGGGCGGGGGGGAGACTGGGACGAGCTCGGGACGCTGCTGCTCGGGGACCAGGACGTGGCTCCCCGCATGCTCCGCTCTGATGAGTGCTGCAGCCGAGCGCCAGGGGTCGAGGTTCCGCCCGCCCGACTAACACCGAGCCCGCAGTGGCAGAGCACCGGCCCCTCCCTCGGCAGTCAGGCCACCGAGAGGAGGAGGAGGAGGAGGAGGAGGAGGAGGAGGAGGAGGAGGAGGAGGAGATGCTTCAAAGTTGATTGTTCTTCGTCGTTCGAACCATCTTGGGGGGGGTCTCGTGGCCGTAGCTGGGCGCAGCTCCAGTAGTTGTTCGGGACGGCGTCCGAGAGTGGTCACCTCCTTCTCCTCAGCACTCATACTCTATCTCCTCAGTTCCCCACCTCCTCCTCCTCCTCCTCCTCCTCCTCCTCCTCCTCCTCCTCCTCCACGTTATCTTATGTATCACCTTCGTTCAACTCAGCAGTATGTGCACCTTGGCTTAGATGTAGCAAGGTGCATATGTACATGTCTGTGTACATGTGTGCATGGATGTGTGTATGCATACGTATGTGCATGTGTAGATTGACATGTATATGTATACTTTTAGGTATCTGTATATGTATATGTATCTGTATATGTGTACGTACGTATGTATGTATGTATGTATGTATGTATGCATGCATGCACGCTTGCATGTATGCATGCATGTATGTATGTATGTACGTATGTGTGTATGTATGTATGTGTGCATGCATACGCGCATGCATGTACGCGTGCATGTATGTATGCATGTACGTATGTATGTATGTATGTATGTATGCATGCAAACTTGCATGCGTGTATGCATGCATGCATGTATGTATGTACGTATGTATGTATGTATGCATGCATGCATGTATGTATGTATGTATGCATGTATGTATATGTGCACGTGGATGTGGATGGATTTGACATCACTACATATGGCTATATGTATACAGCTTGGCATGTGTAAAATTGTGTGTGCGTAAATGTGTGGTATGTGTTCATGTATATGTGTATGTGCATATCTATGTATATACATATGTAATTGTACAGTTATATGTGATATGTGCGCATCTGTATATACAGCTTCATATGCTTGTGATGTTGCGTATGTAAATGTATTTGCGTACGCATATGTGTACTACATGTGTATATATATATATATATATATATATGTGTGTAATCAGGTTATACATGTATGCATGTATGCATGCATGTATGTGTAAACATATGGCAATCTGTCCATTAATGGGTTGATCCTCCTCCTGAACCTCCTCCTCCAACTTATTGGTATACTCCTGCTCCGCTTCACTTTCAGCGCACAGCCCATCCATGGCGGATAGCAAACTCCGGATCCTCATCATACATTGCCATCTTGTTTTTCCTATTGCACTTGCTCGTTCCATTTATAGTATCTCTTCCACCTAATTACGTGTGAGTGCGACACATCGCGATACGAAATGAAGGAAGGGAGGAGGAAAAGAGAGAAGGAAGAAGCAGAGGAAGAGGAGGGAAACGGTTCAAAAGTGGAAGGGGAAGGAGGGCGAGGGAGCAGGAGGTGGAGGTCAGCCAGTCCGTCCGAGCGGAGCGTAGGAGAAGGTGGAGGAGGTCAGCCAGTCCGTCCGAGCGGAGCCTGGCTGGGAGCCGGCGAAACAAAAAAAAAAAAAACGGGAGCACCCCCTCCGCGTTCTGGGCTCGAACGGCGGTCGCTCCCGCGGGGGGGGGGGGGGGGCACCAGCCGGGTGGGAGGGAAATGGAGGAGGAGGACGAGGAGGAGGAGGACGAGGAGGAGGAGGACGAGGAGGAGGACGTGGAGGGGGTATTGGAAGAAGAAGGACGTGCTAAGGCGTCGTCTTTGGTGCTGCGGGCTCTCAACGGTTCTGTTTGTTAGGCTTCACGGGGGCTCTGAAGGCCTCTACAAAAAAAAAACGATGGGGAGGAGGAGGAGGAGGAGGAGGAGGAGGAGGGGCGCCCTCTGTCGCCGGCTCCTGGCGGCGTGATGGCGCCACCGCCAGGGTAAAAAAGCCCACTTGGACGTCGGCGGCCCTGCTCCTCCCTCCCTCTCCCTCGCTGCCTCTCCCGGGGGGCCCGAGGGCGCATCAGGGAGCCCAGGGCACGCGAGGAGAGGGGAGAGGAAAGACGAGGAGCAAGGAAGAGGGGACTGAACACGAGGAGCCGAACCAGGGAACGCGAAGAAAAAGGGGAAGGACGAGGAGCTAAGAATAGAAAACGGAACAAACAGCCCCTCGGAAGCCTTGTGCGGTCGCCCACCCCCACACACCTCCGCCGATCGTGCCCCGTCGGTCGAAGACGGGGCTCCTCGCCGCTCGCGTCGCCGGCGCCGGTGCCGGCAGCGGCCGCCGCCTCCTCCGGCTGGTCCTGCTCCCGAGCGAGCTCGGGGATCACGGGGGCAACGACACGCACGAAGAGCCTCCGGGGCGAAAGGGGGGGCCAGTTTCCCGGGCGGTGTGAGTCGGATGAATCCTGGCTTGTTTTGTCCCAAATTTGGCCTCTGCGGTCCCTGATAGGGTTCTGGGGCCAGCAGAAGTGGATCGGGTAAGCCCACGGGGAAGGGGCCAGGGCATCTGGGGCCGCGCATTGAACAAAGCCTCATTGTCAAATGTCTGGGTTCGGAGCGGAGGGGGGTGGGGCTCCCTACTGAGACAGCTGACGGCGCTTGAGCTACATATATAAGACTTTAATGTTGAAGTAGAACAGATTGGACTTAGGCAACTTATTTCATTATTTATGTAAGTTCTATGATCTTGAGTAGAGCTAAATAATAAATTCCATACGTTCCGTGCATTCTGGGGCTGCGATGCGCGTCGAGCGGTTCCCCGCTGAAATCGCATGGGGTGGCAGCACGTTTGCCTAGAGTCTGGCCTGCCTTAGGAAGAGGGGGAAGAAGGGAAGGAGGGCCCCCCCTCACCCCCCGAGGGGGCCGCGAGGGGGCCCCGTGTGGGCCGCCGCATCGTCGTCGGCGTCGTCGTCGTCGTCGGCGTCGTCATGAAACCCACAGACGTTTCCAATGTTTGTTGGGCCCTGGGGCACTCAGGCCCCGCGTCTTGGGAAGAGCCCATGTCCCCTCCTCATCAGTCCATATATGTAGCTCAAGTGCCGTCAGTTGTCTCGTGGTGGAACTGCTGGTGCACATGGCAGGGCGGGAAAGCACGGAGACATCGTCGTCATCGTCGCTCCCTCCTCCTTCCTCCTCCTTCGACCCCCCCCTATCCCTCCCCCATCCATCGTGCTCCCCCCCCCCGCAGCCGCGCGTGGCTCTGCGCCAGGGCCAGGGCCAGAGCGGCTCTGCGCCGCCGCCGAAGGCGGCGGCTGGCGGCGGCTGTGCGGCGGCTGGCGGCGGCTGTGCGATGTCGGACGACGACGCCACGGCGCTGGGCTTCCTGGACTGGCGCGCAGCAGGGCCTCCAGTCCCAGCCCTCAGCGACGCGGCGGCGGTCGAGGCGCACCTGGAGTACCAGCGCCAGTGGCAGGCCGCGTTCGCGCACGACTGCGCGCGGTTCTGGGGGCAGGAGCACGCGCCGTGGTGGCCAACATACGTGGCGACGCCCTCACACATGCAGGCCATGACGACGGTAGAGGCGGAGGAGGCGGCCAGCTACTACGCGGACGAAGCGGCCAGCTACTACGCCAGCACAGACGACGCCAGCAGCCAGCCAACGCCAGCAGCCAGCCAGACGCCAGCCAGCCAGACGCCAGCACAGCCGACGCCAGCAGCCAGCCGACGCCAGCAGCCAGCAGCAGCCAGACGCCAGCCACCGCCAGACGCCAGCCAGTCGCCGCTCCGTCTACGCCAGCACCCTGCACCAAGCCGACGTCGCATGCAACGACTCGGGCCGACATCAACCGATGCTGCCGCAGACGCCGAAGTGGATCCCGTGCCCGCAGCCCAAGAAGTGCAAGGCCCGAGGCTTCAAGAAGCCTGCGCCGCCAGCACCGAGCATCGGTGAAACAGAGGGCGCCAGCAGCTCGGCCAAGACGCCAGCCGCCTACCACAGCACAGCCGCCAGCAGCCATCTGCCTACACTAGCACAGGCGGCGGCCCAGAGCATCGGTGAACCAGAAGGCGCCAGCAGCGCGGGCCAGCCGCCAGCCGCCACCGCCAGCACAGCCGCCAGCAGCTCGGGCGAGCCGCCAGCACAGACGCCAGCACAGGCGCCAGCCGCCGACACCAGCACAGCCGCCAGCAGCTCGGGCGAGCCGCCAGCACAGACGCCAGCACAGGCGCCAGCCGCCGACACCAGCCCAGGCGCCAGCAGCTCGGGCGAGCCGCCGCAGCCGCCTGCCGCCAGGGTGATCACGAGCGACCGCTTCCAAGGCAGCGGCGTGCTCCGCGCGAGCGGCAGGTAAGGGGACAGCGGCGGGAAGAAGAACCCGAACGTGCAGTGGCACATGGGTCTCGCGATGGCCACGCGTGAGGGGTGGGCGCGCGAGTATCGGGCGATGTACCCGAAACCGCAGAAGCGGGACAACTAGGCTTCGCGCGTTGCTCGGCTCGGGTCGTTGCGGTGTTTCCCAGCAGGATCGCGATGTAACATCGCGTTCGCACGCTGCTGCTGGCAGGCCGCGCCCAGTAATTTGAGTCATGGATCGTGCGTGCCCAGGCGCGCATCGGCCATGAAAAAGAAACGCTTTGGCGAAGGACCCAACCATATGCAGCCGCTGCGCATGCCGAGCGAGGACCCAACTTCGGGAGCTCTGTTCTTAGCGGCTCCCTCCGCAGTTGCATCCAGTGGCGCTTCCGCGCAATCCCGCCACCGCTGATTTATAGATTGGTTGTGCCTCTCGGGTGGCGGGTGGTTGCAATCGTTCAAGACGAATGCCCGCGGCGCCCAGGCGAGGGCCCCATTTTGAAAACCAGCCATCCTCCATGTGTGTAATTGCTGCACACTTTTATGACGAATGCCCGCGGTGCCAAGGCGAGAGCCCCATTTTGAAAATCATCTGACCTCCAGCCATCCACACATCCAGACATCATGTGTGTAACTGCTGCAAACGTTTAAGACGAATGTCCGCCGCGCCAATGCGAGAGCCCCATTTTGAAAACCTGCAGCCCCTCATCCGACGAGCTGTTGCAATGGGTCAGACCTCGAAGCGTCGCCGCCCCCCCCCCCCCGCCCTCCTCCATGAACCACCACGGCTCGAGCCTTTCAAGTGCGACCTCGGGGTCTCCATGCTCCATCCTCGGGCCCCCATCGCCCACCAGGCCACCGCGAGAGGCGATGTCCCCCCGAGGCCAGAGCGAGCGCGGCGGCGCGCACGGCCAAGCCCATTACCAGCCAGGCAGCGGGAGCATCAAGCCAAGCAGCGACAGCAGCGCCACGGAGGACGAGAGCCCCAACGACCCGACGAAGAACACGAAGACGAGGGCCACGCAGGCGGGCGGCCTCCTCGCCGACTTCCGCCCGCAGTCGGAGATCCCCCAGCTCCTCGACGCGGACGACGACGATATCTTCAGCGAGCGCATGTGAGCCTGCCTCGGGCGCCTCTCAACTTAGCGGCCATCCCGCTGTTTGATTGTGCCTCTCAGCTTAGCGGCCACCCCGCTGCTTGGCTACGCCGCCGATCTGAGTGGCCTCCACGTTCGAGCGAGGCGACTTCGGCCCGCGTTCTTTCCGAGAGAAGCAGCGATGTACCCGCCGAGTTGTCGGTCCTCGGTCCCTCGGCTCGGTCGTGGCCCGGACAGACTCGGAGCACTGCCGGGCTGTCTCGGGGGCGTCCTGTGCCCTCCAGGGGCTCTCTTGGGCCACCGGGAGGGTGGTACCGGAGATTTGCCGCCGATGGTTGCGGTCTTGGCGGGGCCCCGAGGGGGGGGGGGGGATATTTGCTTAAAAAACAGAACTGCTGTAACAAAAAAAACTCGAGGCCGCTGTGGCCGTTGTGGGCGGCGGACGCCGCCGCGGCGCTTGGGCGACGCGGCCGTTCCAGAGCGCCCTGGAACGCTCTGAAAGCGTTTTGCAACGCCCTGAAACGGCTTACGGTAAGGAACTTTTGCATAGCGTGTCGCCGCGGCACCCCCCTGCGTCCTCGAATTTCTACAACGCCAGCACGCATGGCCCCCCCCTCATCCTGACGCTTTGCAAATCCTGGGGGGGGGGACTGCATTCTCGCCGCACGCACAGGGGCCTGGCAGTACGGGCGAGGCAGTTTGAAGGCAGACGCAGAGTCCATGATGGCGATGCGCCTGCTTCGGCAAGCAGCTTGCCGCGAGGTCAAGAGCTGCTTGGGCAGCGTCTCCCCCACCGCGACGCGCTGACCTCCTCGAGCGCCGGCCGCTCAGCTCAGCTGCTCAGCTGCTCCGGCGAGGCCCTCGGCCTGTACCCTGCCGTGAGATGCGCGGCCGGCCGCCCCAGACCCACCGCTGCGGCGGCCCCGGCGACACGCCGTGCCCCGCGAGCGGACAGCGTGCTCCGCTCCGCTCCGCGGGGCGGGAGGCTGGGACAGGCTCGGCACGTGGCCGCTCGGGGAACGGGAAGCAGCTGGCGTGTCGCGCCGGGGCAGGGTCGGCCAGAACGGGCGGAGCGGCAGGCCATCCCAGGGATCCTGACCGCACTTTCCCCCGACCCCCGACGTCGTGATTTTTCCATGACGTCGACCCCCAGCGGTCTGGACCCATTCCCTGGGACCGGCTTTTCGTCCTGAGTCGTTGCTTGACGGTCCCGAGGGCCAGGAAAGGGCCCCCAGAGCCCCCAAAATAATGCAAAACCTCCCGTCGTGATTTTTTCACAACGCGAGGGGGGCTGGGGATTCTGCCTCCCCCCTGGCGACCGGCTCTCCGCGGCGCCGCACTCAGTGGCGGCCGGCGGGCGGGCGGGCGGCGGGCGGCCTGCCGCAGAAGAGCCACAGGCCCCGCCGCGGGGGGCCCAGGCCAGGAGCGAGCTCGAGGGCCGCGGCAGTGGCGTCCAGGTCCTGCCAGGCGTCGTCGTCGTCGTCGTTCTCGTCCTAGTCGTCGTCGTCGTCGTCGTCGTCGTCGCCGCCGCCGCCGCCGTCGTCGTCCTCGTGGTCGTACTCGCCATCGCCGTCGTCCTTGTCCAAATCGTCGCCACAAACCGGGCATTCTCACGAAACTTCCGTCTTAGAAAACAAGCTCTGCACGTCGCGTTGTCTTATCTAGTGGCCTTGCTGTGTCTGGAAGAGCCACAGAAATCCGCCACCGTGCTGCTGGGCACGGAGTGGTCGTGTCCTCGAGTCTTTTGCCAAATCCCTCAAGCGCTCCTGAGAATCTGTACAGGGCACGGATCCCAAACTGCCAAATCTCTCGGGGCCTCCCGCGTGCCACCTGGGGTTTTTCGGAGCCAAGGAGGGCCCCAGGACAGGCCAGGAGGGCCCCAAGAGGCCCCGAAGACGGTCGCGAGGGACCGGCCCACCTTTCGGCTTCTTGAGCGAGAACACAGCCAGGAAACTCCTGCGGAGGTGGTCACGGTTTTGTCTGCTGCATCAGCCGAAGGGACCGCCAAGAGCTCCTCCTCCTCCTCCTCCTCCGCCTCCTCCTGCTCCTCCTCCTCCTCCTCCTCCTCCTCCTCCTCCTCCTCCTCCTCCTCCTCCCACCTTCTTCGGAAAAGTCTGACGGAAACCCTCATCACAATCGGGACCTTTTGAGATGCACATGCTGAGATAACAATGGCACTGGCATTACGCAACAGTTCACGGAAGAACTCGTCTTCGGTACCCGCGACAATCCCCTTGCTCAAGAGACCAAGGGAATCCATACGAACGGAGCGAGTAGAGGAGAGCCGAGGCTTCGTGTGGATACTCCCGCTACTGCTGTCACTCCTGTCGTTCATGCCCATCCCACCAGCGGAGGAAGGCCACTTAGCAATCTCGTCCAATGCCTCTTCTGTCTTCTCCGAATTAGCTTTCTGACTGCCGAGACAAGCCTGATACTCTGGATGGAAGCAGCAAGAGCGGCAACATGAGTAGAGAAAGAGAGAGAGAGAGAGAGAGAAAGAGAGAGATAGAGAGAGCGATATGTGCATACACATGTGTGTATATGTATATATATATATACACCTATACAACCACCCTTCGGGTGATAAGGAGGTTCGGGGGAGGAGGAACCAACGTCGCATTCAATCGGTCTCACGATCGATCTCCTTATCGATCTCACTATCGGTCTCGCTCGACCGATTTCACTCGATCGATCTCACAATCAATATCACTCGATCTATTTCATTCAATCGATCTCACAATCGATCTGACTGTCGATCTCACAATCGATCTCACGATCGATCTCACAATCGATCTCAAATCCGGTCTCAAATCAATCTCACTATCTATATAACAATCGATCTCACAATCAACGTCATCATCATCCTCAACATCATCGTCATCTACGTCATCAACATTATCATCATCACCAGGACACCATCATCATCACCTCATCACCATCACCATCAACAAGCTCATCATCAAAGGGAGACCATCATCGTCACCATGATCATCAACAATATCAAAATCGGGACACCAGCATCACCATCATCATCGAAACACCACCATCATCAGCATCATCTCATCATCATCGTGAACAGCATCATCAGCATAATCATCATCACCGGGGCACCATCATCACCACCAGCAAAATCATCAAGAACATCATCATCATCGGGACACCATCATCATCGTCACCATCACCATCATCATCGGGGCACCATCATCATCATCAACATCAGCATCATCATCATCACCATCGGGCCACCATCATCAAAATCATCATTATCACCTCATCATCATCCTCATCATAAACATCATCATCATCGGGGCAACATCATCGCCATCATCATCATCAACATCAACATCAGCATCATCATCATCGGGGCACCATCATCATCACCATCATCACCAACAGCCTCACCATCAACCTCATCATCACCATCATCACCGGGCCACCATCATCATCATCCTCATCATCATATCGTCATCATCATCCCATCATCACCAACATCATCCAGATCATTTACATCATCATCAACATCATCGGGACACCATCATCATCAGCAACATCATCATCATCATCATCAACACCATCATCATCATCGGGACACCATCATCATCACCAACATCACCATCACCATCACCATCATCACCATCATCATCATCATCATCATCATCATCATCGTCAACATCATCATCATCATCATCATCAGAATCATCATCATCATCATAAACATCATCATCATCATCATCATCATCATCATCATCATCATCATCGGGACACCATCATCATCACCATCAACATCATCATCATCATCACCATCATCATCATCAACATCATCGACATCATCATCACCGTCATCATCGGGACACCGACGGGACACCGGCGCGACACCAGTGGGACACCGCGCGCCACCGGACGCTGGAAGGGAATCATTTGGTCCGGCCGCGCCTCAGCCACAGCGGGACACCGGCGGGACACCGCGCGCCACCGGACGCCGGAAGGGAATCATTTGGTCCGTCCGCGCCTCAGCCACAGGAGACTTGCCTCTCACCCGCCCACGCAGCTTCGCCTCGCCCGCACGCATGGCACGCACGAACACGAAACCGAAACCGATTTCCCGGTAGGGGGGCTCTCCGTTCCACTTCGATCTCACCCCCTCACCTCCTATATATATATATATATATATATACATATATATTATATATATGTATGGAAAGACCATACCGAAGGATTCGCCGATCTTCTCGCAAGCCGCGCTCATCTTGGTCGCCTCGGCAACCAATGCCGTGACCAAGACACAATGGTCAGACTTCTACGGTGCCACCGCGCCCGTGAGCAGAGCGGAATCCGAGCGAGTGGGGGAGGGAGGTGTACGCAAAGCAAGGGCAACTGTGCCCAGGTTTCGAGCAGTCCCATCCGCTGCGAGCAACCTCGCAGCACCAAAGATTCGTGCTTAGAACTTGCGCCAACATGGCTACGGATGATGCTGCTGATTATGATGATGACGATGCTGCTGCTGCTGATGCTGATGATGCTGGTGGTGATGGTGATGAAGCTGACGATGATGATAGTGGTGATGATGCTGATGATGATGGTGATGATGACGATGATGATGATGCGGATGATGATGATGCTGATGATAATGATGAGGATGATGATGATGCTGATGACGATGATTATGATGACGATGAGCATAAGGAGGGAGGAGTGGGGGAGGAGGAGGAGGAGGAGGAGGAGGAGAAGGAGGAGGATGAAGGAGGGAGGGCGCGGGGCGCTGCTGATTCAAAACGAGGGAGGATTCAACACCACAGGGTGTTCGGGGGAACAAGACAAAAACATGCCGGCGGACAGCTGGCAACGGTGGGCTGACGGCGCCCACAAGGGGGGTGGTGCGAGGGTGGTGGACTTCGAAGAGGGCGGCGGCAGTGCCTCTGAGAAGGCAAGAGGCCTTCTCCTCCACCTCCTCCACCTCCTCATCTTTCTCCTCCTCCACCACTCCTCCCCCTCCTCCTCCTCTCCTCCTCCTCCTCCCTCCTCCTCCTCCTCCTCCTCCTCCTCCCCTCCCCTCCTCCTCTCCTCCTCCTCCCTCCTCCTCCTCCTCCTCCTCCTCCTCCTCCTCCTCCCCCCTCTCCCTCTCCCTCCTCCTCCTCCTCCTCCTCCTCCTCCTCCTCCTCCTCCTCCTCTCGGAAGCCCGCCTTGCTTCTGAGAGGCCTGCTGAAAAGCCTCAGTCCCTCCGCCTCCTTCGAAGCCTACCGCCGCACCCCCTTGCCCCCCCTCTGGGCGCCAGCATGAGGAGGAACGCTGAGGGGCCCTGAAATCCAAAGTCACGGAACCATTGAAAGATTGTCCAAAAACGACTGGAGCTCCAGACCATATGTCTCTGCTTGCATTTTTCATGCCGGATCGATCTGTGATGGCCCTGTGGCCCGAAATTGTGCAAAATCGCCCGGCGCGGAAAAACGCGACGCCAAGATTCCAAGGGGTCGCCGCCGCGTCGACACGACGCGAACCCGCCGCGCCTGCTGGCTGAGCAGCGCCTGCGCGAGCGGAGGCGGCCCGGCTGGGGGGGGGGAGGGGGAGAGACGAGGAGGATGATGAGGAGGAGAAGCAGGAAAAGGTTGAGGACGAGGAGGAGGAGGAGGAGAAAAGGACGAGGACAAGGTAAAAAGGAGGTGGTGAAGGATGAGGAAAAGGAGGAGGAGGAGGACGAGGGGAAGAGGGAGGAGGTGGAGGATGAGGGATAAGACGAGGACGAGGAGGAAAAGGACGAGGTGGACGAGGAGGAAGAGGAGAGGGACGAGGAAGAGGAGGAGGAGGAGGAGGAGGAGGAGGAGGAGGAGGAGGAGGAGGAGGAGGAGGGGGGGGAAGAGGAGGGGAGGAGGAGGAGGAGGAGGGGGGGGGGGAAAAGGAGGAGGAGGAGGAAGAAAGGACGAGGAGGAAAAGGACGAGGAGGAGGAAAAGGACGAGGAGGAGGAGGAGGACGAGGATCTCAGGGGATGGCGACCGACGGCGGCGGCCGTCCTCCCCCGCGTCCAACCGCGCCCAGCCGGGCCGCCCCGCGTCGCCGCCCGCCGCGGCGCGGCCGTTCCGCGGCGGCGGCCGGAGCGCCGCGGCCGCGGCGGGCGTCAGCGCCGCCTGCGGCAATAAACGGCGCTCGATCGTCGACCGACGGCGACCGGTCGCTCGACGCGGCGACTTCATGGCGGCGCCGCCATGCACACCGTCTTTCGTCTTTCGGGGGCGCGCAGACATGGATTAGCGATCCATGGATTTGGCGCGCGGTCGCCAAATCCATGGATCGGGGGAGGTGCCCTCCCCAACATGCGGCCGGTGCCGCCTCGTTCGGCGGCGAAAATCCGTGATTTCTGATGGAAACGGGGCCTGTCGCTAATCCACGCCCCCTCAATCCATGCTTGCGATCGCCTGAGTCTAGCCGGGTATGGAACCACACACACACACGCACACGCACACACGCACACGCACACACACACACACAAGGGGGATGCTCGAAGTGCCCCCCTGCCTGGACGCGCTCGCTATATGGGCGACAACGTGGCGGTGGAGATTGCCAGCCCGGGTGGGGGGAGGGGGCGCCCCGGGCTCGAACCGGAGTGGGAGGGAGGCAGAATCCCCAGACCCCCTCGAGCTACGAAAAAATCACGACGGGAGGTTTTTCATTATTTTTGGACCCTGGGGGCCCTTACCAGCCCTCGGGACCGTCAAACAACGATTCAGGACGAAAAACTGGTCCCGGGGAATGGGTCCTGAGCGCTAGGGGTCGACGTCATGAAAGAATCATGACGTCGGGGGTCTGTGTGCCCCCCCCCCCCTGGTTCGAACCCAGCGGGAGCGGGGGGTAAAGCTGGGGTCGGGGCCGGGGCCAGGGCCGGGTCCGTGGCTGAGGCCGGAGGCTCGGGCTCCCAAGCCCAACGGCCCTTACACTTTGTTTGCGCTCTGTTTGGCTTGAGCTTTGTTTGAACTTTGTATGAGAATTGCGATTTGTTTGTGTTTCGATGGTGCCTTGCTTGAGCTTCGTTTCAGCTTGATTGAGCTTTGTTTGAGCTTTGGTGGAGCTTTGTTGAAACTGTGTTTCAGCGTTGCTTGAGTGTTGTTTGAGCTTTTCGTTGAGCTGTGCCAGCTGTGATTGAACATCGTTTGACAATTGGAGCGTTGTCGGAGCTTTGCTTGAGCTTTGCTCGAACTGTGTTTGAGATGTGTGTGAGCTTTGCATGGGCTTTGCTGGAGCTTTCATTGAGTTTTGCTTGAGCTTCGATTGAACTTTGCTTAAGCTTTGTTTGATCTGTCCTTGAGCTTTGTTTGAGCTATGGTTGGGATTTGTTTGAGCTTTGTTGGAGCTTTGTTGGATCTTTGTGTGAGATTTGTTTGCACCTTGTTCCCTACATAGGCTCTGCCTAGAAGGGTTCTTACTCTCTTAGCTAAAGAGGGCCGGGCAGTGCACAGCGCCCCGGGCGGTTCCCCCAGTCCCCGCCCCGCGGTTCCCCCAGTCCCCTGAGAGCTTTAGCTTTAGCTTTAGCTTTAGCTTAGCTTTAGCTTAGCTGTAGCTTAGCTTCAGCTTAGCTTTATCCTAGCTTCAGCTTAGCTTCAGCTTAGCTTTAGCTTAGCTTTAGCTTAGCGGCACCTTAGCGTTAGCTTAGCTTTAGCTTAGCTTTAGCTTTAGCTTTAGCTTAGCTTTAGCTTAGCTTCAGCTTAGCTTCAGCTTAGCTTCAGCTTAGCTTCAGCTTAGCTTCAGTTTAGCTTTAGCTTAGCTGTACCTTAGCTGTACCTTAGCTTTAGCTTAGCCTTAGCTTGGCTTTAGCTGAGCTGCACCTTAGCTTTAGCTTAGCTTTAGCTTAGTTTTGGCTTCGCTTTAGCTTAGCCTTTACCGTAGATTTAGCTTAGCTTTAGCTTAGCTTTAGCTTAGCCTTTACCGTAGCTTTAGCTTAGCTTTAGCTTAGCTTTAGCTTAGCTTTAGCTTAGCTTTAGCTTATCTGCACCTTAGCTTTAGCTCAGGTTTAGCTAAGCGGTAGCTTAGCCTTAGCTTAGCCTTAGCTTAGCTTTAGCTTAGCTTTAGCTTAGCTTCATCCTAGCTTTAGCTTACCTTGAGCTTAGCTTAGCTTAGCTTTAGCTTAGCTTTAGCTTAGCTTTAGCTTAGCTTTAGTTTAGTTTTAACTTAGCTTTAGCTTAGCTTTAGCTTTACTGTTCGTACTAATGCTGCTTTCCTAGGGGCTCCAACTCCTATGTAGGGTCGCACTGGGATAATTTGAGCTTTGTTTGAGCCTGCGACGACGACGACAACGACTACGACGACGACGGAAACGGCGATGGCGACGGCGACGGCGACGGAGCATTACATGCAACAACCTCTTCTCGGTGAGGAACAAGGTTGGGGGAACACATCTCACACTATATGGGGACGCCTTTCGGGAGGGCGCGGGACATTCAATATACGATTCGCTCCGTGATGGAGCGTTGAGTCGGGCGGGGTAGCAGAGCATGAATGCAACGTTCACGCTGTGCTGGGACAAGTTTGGGGGAAACTAGATCAAAACCACCGGGGAACCCGTTCGGGCGCCACACCACCACAACCATCATCATCATCATCCTCATCCTCATCATCACCATCATTATCACCATCATCACCATCACCACCACCATCATCATCGACATGACACCATCATCATGATGACAATCATCACCACAATCATCATTTTCAGCATCATCACTATCACCAACACCATCACCATCACCATCAGCAACTGCGGCTGCATCATCATCAGCGTCGTCGCCGTCATGATCATCATCATCATGATCATCATCAATACCATCATCACCATCACCATCTTGAAAACATCATCATCGCCAACATCATCATCATCATCATCATCATCACCATCATCATCATCATCATCATCTCCCTCGCCATCACCATCACCTTCACCATCACCACCACCACAATCATCATCACCACCACCATCACCACCACCATCACCACCACCATCGTCATCATCATCAGCAGCATCACCATGCACATCAGCATCATCATCACATTCATCATCATCAGCACCTTCACCATCATCATCATCATCATCGTCATCGCCATCACCACCATAATCAGAATCACCATCAGCGTGATCATCAGCATCGTTACAATCATCATCATCATCAACATCATCATGACCACCACCACCATCATCATCATAACCCTCACCACCATCATCATCATTATCATCCTCATCTACATCAGGATCAGCATGAACATCAGGATCAGCATCAGCATCATAATCATCATCCACCACCGTGGCAACCATCATCATCAGCATCATCATCGACATCGTCATCCTCCTCATTATCATCCTCTTCCTCCTCCTCCACGTCATCATCATCATCATCAGCATCACTATCACCACCGCCGCCATCACGATCGTCACCATAAACATCACCATCACCATCAGCAGCATAGTCGGCATCAGCATCACCATCACCACGATCATCAGTATCAGCATCAGCATCATAATCAAAATCACCATCACCATCATCACCATCACCATCATCACCATCATCATCACCATCATCACCTTCATCACCATCGCCATCACAATCATCATCATCATCATCATCATCATCATCGTCACCATCATCATCAGCATCATCACCATCGCCATCATCATCATCACCAGCATCATCCGCATCATCATCATCAGCATCACCATTGCCACCACAATCATCACCAACATGACACCATAATCATGATTGCAATCATCACCATAATCATCATATTCACCATCATCACCATCACCATCTCCATCACCATCAGCAGCATCGGCTGCGTCATCATCATCAGCGTCGTCGCCGTCATGATCTGAAACATCATTATCAGCATGATCACCAGCATCATCAACATTATCATCCACCACCACAATCTTCAAAACGTCGTCATCGCCACCATCATCATCACCATCATTATAGCTATCATCAGCATTACCATCATCATCATCATCATCAGCAGCATCTTCCTCGCCATCATCATCACTTTCACCACCACCACCACCATCATCATCATCATCACCACCACCATCACCATCACCATCGTCATCAGCAGCAGCATCACCATGCACATCATCATCATCATCATAACCATCATCATCAGCACCTTCATCATCATCATCAGCGCCATTTCCACCATAATCAGAATCATCATCATCGTGATAACCAGCATCGACACAATCATCATCATCATCAGCAGCATCACCACCACCATCATCATCACCATTATCATCATCAGCATCAGCAGCATCTACATCAGGATCAGCATCAGCACCATCATCAGCATGATAATCATCATCCTCGTAGTCATCATCAGGATCATCACCACCACCACCATCACCATCATCATCATCAGCAGCGTCATCTTCATCGTCATCCTCCTCATCATCATCCTCTTCCTCCTCCTCCTCGTCATCATCATCAGCATCACTATCACCACCACTGCCATCACCATCACCACCATCACCATAAACATCATCATCATCATCAGCAGCAGCAGCATCGGCATCATCATCATCACCATCACCACCATCATCAGCATCACCATCATCATCACCATCATCACCTTCATCACCATCATCATCACCATCATCATCAACATCATCATCACCATCACCACCACCATCATCAGCATCATCACCATCATCACAATCACCGTCATCATCATAATCGCCATCATCATCATCGTCATCGTCATCATCATCAGCATCATCACCATCGCCATCATCATCATCATCCCACCATCATCACCATCACCATCATCACCACCACCATCACAATCATAATCCTCATCACCATCATCCGTATCACCATTTTCACCATCGCCACCACTATCCTCATCAACATGACACCATCATCATGATGATATTCATCAGCAGTATCATCACATTCAGCACCATCACCACCACCATCACCATCAGCATCGTCATCATCATCATCAGAAGCAGCATCACCATGCACATCAGCATCATCATCACCATCACCGTCATCATCAGCACCTTCATCATCAGCATCATCGCCATCAGTGCCACCACCACCACAATCATACTCATCACCAGCGTGATCACCAGCATCGTCACCAGCATCATCATCACCACCACCACCATCATCATCACCATCACCACCATTTTCATCAGCATCTACATCAGGACCAGCATGAGCATCATCATCATCATCATCAGCATCATAATCACCTGCCTCATACACAGCATCAGCATCATCACCACCACCACCACCATCACCATCACCATCATCATCATCATCATCAGCAGCATCATCTGCATCGTCATCCTCCTCATCACCATCATCTTCAACCTCCTCCTCGTCATCATCATCTTCACTACCACCACCACCGCCATCACCATCACCACCATCACCATCAACAGCATCACCATCAGCAGTAGCATCGGCATCATCATCACCATCACCACCATCATCAGCATCAGCATCAGCATCATCACCATCACCATCACAATGACCATCATTAGCATCACCATCATCATAACCATCATCTTCAACATCATCACCATCATGACCATCACCACCACCATCATCATCATCGTCATCGCGATCATCATCATCAGCATCATCATCACCATCGCCATGATCATCATCAGCATCATCATCAGCATCACCATCACCATCACCATCATCACCATCACCATCACCATCATCATCATCATCATCATCATCATCATTATCACCATCATCACCATCACCACCACCATCTTCATCAACATGGCACCATCATCATGAACACAAGTTTCGCAATAATCATCATCACCATCACCAACACCATCACCATCACCATCGTCATCCTCATCAGCAGCAGCACCACTATGCACATCAGCATCATCACCATCAGCATCATCATCATCATCAGCACCTTCATCATCATCATTACCACCACCAGCATAATCATAATCATCATCAGCGTGATCGTCCGCATCGTCATCATCGTCATCATCATCACCACCACCATCATAATCACCATCATCATCATCATCATCATCATCATCATCATCATCTTCACTATCACCACCATCATCATCAGCATCATCAGCATCTACATCAGGATCAGCATCAGCATCATGAACATCCTCGTACTCAGCATCAGCATCATCACCACCACCACCATCACCACCATCATAAGCATCATCATCTTCATCGTCATCCTCCTCATCATCATCCTCTCCCTGCTCCTCGTCATGATCATCCGCATCACTATCACCACCACTGCCATCACCATCATCACCATCACCATTAACATCATCATCATGAAACAGCAGCATCGGCATCATCATCACCATCACCACCATCATCAACATCAGCATCATCACCACCATCGCCATCACCATCACCATCACATCATCATCACCATCATCATCACCGTTATCATCACCATCATCAGCACCATCACCATCGCCATCACCATCATCATGGTCATCGTCATCATCATCAGCATCATTACCATCGCCATCATCATCATCACCAGATCATCATCATCATCATCATCATCATCATCATCATCATCATCATCATCATCATCATCATCACCATCATCATCATCACCATCACCATCACCATCACCATCACCATCACCATCACCATCACCATCACCATCACCATCACCATCACCATCATCGCCATCGCCATCGCCATCACCATCATCAGCATCACCATCATCACCATCATCAGTATCACCATCGCCAGCAGCCCAGAACGGCCCCGGCCCTGGCTCCGGCCCCGGCCTCGGCCCCAGCTGGCCCTGAGCCCCCCGGCCCCGACCCCACCCCCAGCCCTGGCCAGCCCCGGCCCCAGCCCCGGCCCTGGCCGTGGCCCGGCGCCCCCCAGACCGGCCAGTCCTATCCGAAAGGAGGGGGGATCTCCCCCCCTCCTCCCCTCCTCCTCGTCCTATTTTTCTCGTCCTCGTCGCCTTCCTCCTCCTCCTCCTCCTCCTCCTCCTCCTTCTCCTCCTCCTCCTCGTCTCCTCCCACCCGCGCCCCGAGGCGTGTCGGTAGGGCGGGGCGTGCGTTTCGCCTGAGACTTTCTCACCAAATCGGATCCTTACTTACGTCGAGGAATGGCAGCAGCTCCAAAAATGGAAGGGCGGACCTAGGTCCGCCCTTCCCCACTGGCTCGGAGGGTGGTGAATTCTGCCCCCCCCCCTCCGATTCGAACCGGGAGGGTGGCCTGCCAGGAAACAGTAGACAGCGCTCTTACCGAGATGTCTTTTGGTGTTGGTCCTGAGGGGGCTGTGCGCATAAGTCGTTCCAGAAGCGCTCCAGACCATGCATTATTCAAGTCCGCGTTCACGGGCGGAGTCCACAATGCCCTTGAGAAGGGGACGCTGCCGAGGGGCATCCCTGGGTGACCCGAGCCCGAGCCGCATCAACAGCTCCCTCTTCCAGTGGCGTACTTCTGAATGTGCCTTTTGGGGCGATGGTCTTGTCGCTGGTCCCTGCCTGCGTGATGGAAACCCAGGTGGGGTGACAAAAAGGTCGTGTGGATGCCCCCCCCGAAATTGTATCAATGGGGCTCCTCAAGTGGACACCGCCCCATGAGGGGGAGGAGGAACAGTGCAAGCCCAAGACACTTCAACGATGTTGCACCAAACGCTCCTTTTACGTTCCCTCTTCATAATCCCCTATAAACACTTTTCACTGAGGGAAATGCCCCGTTGAAGACAACATTCTGAAAATCCGGAAACCTGCCAAAACACCCTTCCTGGGACTGGAACGCCGAGAATCAACGCTATTGTTGCGTCCTGACCAGCCTGAACCGCTCTAGAACATCATTCCTGGGACTCCAACACCGCGAATCGACATGACTGTTGCGCCCTGGCAGTATTACATCGTGCCAAATTACCATTTCTGGGGCGTTAACCATGAGATTTCTTGAAACTGTTGCAAACTCTTCAGACGAATGTCCGCGGCGCTGCAGCAAGAACCACATTTTGAAAAAATGACCCGCCCTCCGTCTGAAAAGCTCACGCAAACTTGGAAAACGAATGTGCGCGGCGCTAGAGCGATCACACTCTGAAAACCGCCCGCCCGCCATCCGTGAAGCCCTGACAAACTCTCAAGACGAATCCACATTTCGAACACGGCCCGCCATCCATCCTTGAAGCTGCTTCAAAGTCTCGGCGAAAGGATCAGATTTGGAAAAAAAGGTCTCAGGCGAAACGCCCGGCCCGCCCTACCGACACGTCTCGGGGCGCGACATGGAGGAGCTACTCAGAAGGAAAAGAAACGGAGGAGGAGGAGGAAGAGGAGGACGAGGACGAGGAAAAAGACGAGGAGGAGGGGAGGAGCCACCGCCGCGGGGCCCGCCTCGGCGCCCGCGGGGATCCTCACCTCCGCGAAGAGCCCGTGCGCGGCCTCGAAGCGCAGGGCCCGGGGCGCCCTGCCCGTGCCCAGCGACGCCCAGAGGCCCTGGCCTTTTGGGGGCGGGGCGCGGTCTCAGCGGAAGAACAGGAGGAGGAGAAGGGGGAGGAGGAGGAGGGGGAGGAGGAGGAGGGGGAGAAGGATTGGAGGAGGAGAAGAAAGAAGAGAAGGGGGAAGAGAAATATCGAAAATGGCTCAATATTTTTTTGCGTCGGCGGCTAGGCAGAGTCACTGCGCTGGCGAGGAAGCGAAAAGGGGGCTGCCGTTGAGCGAAATGTGCCAGCATGCAGGAGGGGGGGGAGGAGACAACGAAGCGACGGCCGAAGAGGAGGAAGCGGGCCGGGGCCGCTCAGGGGAACGGGTCGTTCCCAGGGGCGCGTGGCGCGGCCGTCACCGCCGCGGGGCCAGCAGCAGCAGCGGGACTGGGGGGCCAGAGGCGGCGCGGGAAAAACGGCACAAACATAAAGTTTCGACGGTTCGCGCAGATTTCTTGGACCTGCGCTGGACCCTTTACTGACACGCGAAGTGCGCCAGGGGCAGCGCCGGAGGCGCAGCCTGGGCAGGTCCAAAGTGGATCCAAGAAGTCCGCGCAGATCGTCGAAAGGTTATGTTTACGAAGTGCTTCCCTCTTCGACTTGAGGTGGCAATCAGCATCGAATAGGGGAAATCGACCCGGACACCCAACATCCCTCGAAATCAATTCTTCTAGACGGCGGCACGAACAAAATACTGCACTGCAGCATTTCCAGAATCTATCCTGACACAGGCCCTAAAGGCCTGCAAGACCCCCCTAAACCCAGACGCAAGCCCGAACCCTGCTGTGCAGGCAGCAAACAAACAATGCACACGTACTGGACAATGTGACTTTGCAGGGAAGGGCGCCGTTTCCTTGGTTTTCCGTGTCCTGGCTTATCTGTGCAGGCGAGCCCATAATCGAATCGACAAATCGGATCGGAAGTCGACATGAATCGGATCGGCGGAAATCGGCAGCCGAGTCGGGAAAAGCCGCATCGGCGGAAATCGGCAGGCCAGTGGCCAGTGTGCGCCCGATGAGAGGCCGGAGCCCAAATCGGAGTCCCAAGCCGAATCGAATCGGAACCGGAAGCCATCGAGATCGTATCGAACCGAATCGGATCGGAGGCATCGAAGCGAGCCCTGCCTGTGTCCTGGCCGCCGGGGGCCCGACGGTTCGCGTCGGAGCCCGCGACAGCTCGGGCCGCATCCCGCACGGGGGGGCCCCAAGACGCCCCTCAGATGGCCCCAAGACGGCCCAAGCCTCTTCCTCTTCCTCCTCCTCCTCCTCCTCCTCCTCTTCCTCCTCCTCCTCCTCCTCCTCCTCCTCCTCCTATCCTCCTCCTCCTCCCTCCCTCCTCCTCCTCCTCCCCCTCCTCCTCCTCCTTCTCCTCCTCCTCCTCCTCCTCCTCCTCCTCTTCCTCCTACTCCTCTCCTTGTCCTTCTAGATAAATCCTCCCTGTCGCACCCCGAGGCCGGTCGAAAGGGCGGGCCGCGCGAGAGGCCCCCACGACGGCCCAAGAGGGCCCCCAAGGCGGCCCAAGAGGCGAGCAAAACGGCCCAAGGGGGCCCCAGAACGGCCCCCGAGAGGCACCAAGGACCCACACAGAGGCCCCCAAAAGACCCCCCAAAAGGCCCCGAGAGACGCCAAAACAGCTCCCAAGACACCCCAAGAGGCCTCCGAAGGGAGCCCCAAGAGGTCCAAATCGCAGCAATCCATTGGTAAAACGTACGTCTTCAGCATCAACAACGTCTCGCCTTCCCGCCGCTCCAAGACGGCCCAAGATGCCCCCCCCGATTGCCCCAAGACGGCCCAAGACGCACTCAAGAGGCCCCCACGACTGCCCAAGTGGGCCCCAAGACGGCCCAAGAGGATGCAACCTATGTTATGCAATCTATGCGGTGCAATCTACGCGGTGCAATCTATGTGGTGTCTAAGACGGCCCCAAAACGGCCCCCGAGAGGCACCAAGGACCCTCACAGAGGTATCCAACAGGCCCCAGCTCCCAAGAGGCACAACAAAATACTCACTGCGTGGAGCTCCCCATATGTGCATCTATTCGCATGGACCTGTCCGCCGTGAATGTCTCGGCGCAAGAGCTTTCGAATATAAACGGGCTTCAGTTGTGACGGTCTGGACATGAATCTAACTGCGAATGAATTGGAGTGTGAATGAGCCTCAGTAGTACGAGCGCGTCTCTGCGCATGAGCCTGGGACCTCCTGGGGCCTCCTGAAACCTACTGGGGCTTCCTAGGGTCTCCAGGAGCCTCTTGGGGCCTCCTGGGACCTCCTAGGGAGGTTTCGTGCCCCAGGGGAGGCCCAATATATAGCAACAGACATACATGAAGCATTGCGGATTAGAGCCACAGGAGAAGGGCAATATATAGGAACACGCGTAAACCACCAAGGACTCGTGCCCCAGGCGAGGCCCAATACATAGGAGCATAAGTAAAGCATGTAGGATTGTGTGCACAGCAGAAGGACAAACTATAGACACATACGTTTAACATCAAGGAATCGTGCTCCAGGTGAGGCCCAGTCGATAGGAGCATACGTACAACACATGGGATTGGAGCCACTCCTGTTGCCTTCCGAGGCCTCCTGCTCCTGGGGCCTCTCGGGGCCTCCTGTTGCCTTCCGAGGCCTCCTGACGCTTCCTGTGGCCTCCTGTGGCCTCCTGTGGCTTCCTGAGGCCTTCTGGAGCTTCCTGGGGCCTCCTGGAGCCTCTTGGGATATCCTGTGGCCTCTTGAGTCTTTCTGTGGCCTCCTGATGCCTCCTGGGACCTCATGTGGTCTCCTGGGGTATCCTGGAACCTGTTGGAGCCTCCTGTGGCATCCTGAGAAGAATCTGCGCCCACGAGCCTGGCCACCAAAACAAGCACAAAGATCGAGACATCCTCAAAATCTGGCCCACCTGGGGGGTGAAAATGCGCGCCTCGCCCAGGACATCCTCCAAGTCTGCTCCAAAAGCGAAGAAACAAGCAAACCGCTTGAAACATCCCTACAAAACGGCCGCGAACGGGACCGTGCAACACCCCTCGGCGGCTCCCCTCAGGGACGTGAGAATGAGCGCCTCGCTCGAGACATCCTCCAAATCTGCTCCGAAAGCGAAGGATGTTGGGACAGAAAACAAGCAAACCGCTTGAACCATCCCCACAAAACGGCCGCGAACGGGACCGTGCACCCCTCGGCGGCTCCCGTCAAGGACGTGAAAATGAGCGCCTCGCTCGAGACATCCTCCAAACCTGCTCCGAAAGCGAAGGATGTTGGGACAGAAAACATGCAAACCGTTGGAAACATCCCAACAAAACGGCCGCGAACGGGACCGTGCAACACCCCTCGGCGGCTCCCCTTAGGGACGTGAAAATGAGCGCCTCGCTCGAGGCATCCTCCAAATCTGCTCCGAAAACGAAAGACGCTGGGACAGAACACAAGCAAACCGCTTGAGACATCCCCACAAACCGGCCGCGAACGGGACCGTGCACCCCTCGGCGGCTCCCGTCAAGGACGTGAAAATGAGCGCCTCGCTCGAGACATCCTCCAAAACTGCTCCGAAAGCGAAGGATGTTGGGACAGAAAACAAGCAAACCGCTTGAACCATCCCCACAAAACGGCCGCGAACGGGACCGTGCACCCCTCGGCGGCTCCCGTCAAGGACGTGAAAATGAGCGCCTCGCTCGAGACATCCTCCAAACCTGCTCCGAAAGCGAAGGATGCTGGGACAGAAAACATGCAAACCGTTGGAAACATCCCAACAAAACGGCCGCGAACGGGACCGTGCAACACCCCTCGGCGGCTCCCCTTAGGGACGTGAAAATGAGCGCCTCGCTCGAGGCATCCTCCAAATCTGCTCCGAAAACGAAAGACGCTGGGACAGAACACAAGCAAACCGCTTGAACCATCCCCACAAAACGGCCGCGAACGGGACCGTGCACCCCTCGGCGGCTCCCGTCAAGGACGTGAAAATGAGCGCCTCGCTCGAGACATCCTCCAAACCTGCTCCGAAAGCGAAGGATGCTGGGACAGAAAGCATGCAAACCGCTTGAGACATCCCCACAAAACGGCCGCGAACGGGGCGTGCCTGAGTCTCAGCATGAGCAAGTCTGAGTAGGAGTAGGTCTGAGTATGAGTAGGTCTGAGTATGAATAATTCTGTGCGTGTATGAGAGTAAGTCTGGGAATGAGTAAGTCTGAGTATGAGTCAGTCTGTGTATGAGTAAGTCTGGGTATGGGGAGGAAAGGGGAGGAGAAGAGGAAGAAGAAGGAGTAGGAGGCGTCCAAGAAATAACAAGAACCCCATCGTAGGATATGGAAAAATACCTCAAGAGATGCCAGAACAGCCCCAAAGAGGGGTCACAACTGCTTCCTCTAAACACCCTGCAAGCCTCTTGGACCCCCTGGAATGGTACGGCGACGGTCGGATAATACATATATATATATATATATATATATATATGTACATATATATATAGAGAGAGAGGGAACACATATATACATAGGTGTAAATATATGTGTCTATATCTGTAGGATACTGGAGAACAGCCCCACTCAAAGTCTTTTTAGGGCTACATGGCTATGGCGCTATCGGGCTCTATGGCGATGGGGCAATGGGGCTAGATGACTTTGGAACTATAGGGCTATAGGGCTATAGTGCCATAGGGCTATAGGGCTATAGGGCTATAGGGCCATGGGGCTATAGGGCTATAGGGCTGTGGGGCTCTAGGGCTATGGGGCGATGGGGGTCTGGGGCAATGGGGCTATAGGGCTATAGGGCCATAGGACAATACAGGGCTCTGGGACTTTAGGGCTATAGGGCTGTAGGGATATAGGGGTACAGGGCTATGGGGCTAAAGGCATATACATGTATATATATATATATATATATATATATATATATGTATCGAGCTATAGGGCTGTAGGGCTATAGATCTATAGGGCAATGAGGATATGAGGCTATAGGGCTATAGAACTATAGGGCTATAGGGCTATGGAGCCATAGGGCTCTATGGCGATAGGGCTACAGGGCTATGAGGCTATAGGGCTATTGGGCTATAGGGCTATGAGTCCGTCGTCGGCCGTCGTCGGCCGTCGTCGATGGCCGTTTGCGACGTTTGGGGGGTCTCCTGGGGTGGCCTTGGGTGCCTCTGGGGACCTCGTGGGAGCCTCTTGGGAGCCCCTTGGGGGTCCTCGTGGGACGGGGGGCTCGCAATTCCAATTGTTTTCCCCCATGTTGGACCCACTCGGGGCGCTTTGGGAGACCATTTGGGCCGTCTTGGTTGGCTCTGGGACCATCTTGGGGCCCTCTTGGGCTGTCTTGGCGCTCCCTGAGGAGCCTCCTGGGCAATATTGGGGCGATCTTGGGGGCCCCTGAGGTCGGTAAGAACGGTATGACGACCAACAAAAACGAATATGGTAAACATGCGGGCTTACGAAAAGACTGTGGCCATTGTTGCCCCTCGGGGCCCTCTTGGAGAACACATTGTATGTGTTGGGAGGCGTCTTGAAAGCCTCTTGGGGGCTGGTTTGAGGCCTCCTGGGGGCTTCAGGGGGTCCTCTTGGGGCGGGGGGCTCGCAATTCCAATTGGACTTCCCCAGCTCGGGCTCCTCTTGGGGCCATTGGGGAGGCCGTTCGGGCCATCCCCGTTGCCTCTGGGACTGTCTTGGGGCCCTCTTGGGCCGTCTTGGCACCCTCTGGGGGGTCTCTTGGGCCGTGTTGGGGCGATCGTGGGGGCCCCCGAGGCTGTCAAGGACGGTACGAAGACGAAAACCACAAATGCGGTAAACATGTATGGTTTTTTGCGACAAGAACGGTGCCATGGTTGCCCCTCGGGGCCCCTGGGGGGTCAACTTGCACGGTATATGAGGCGTCTTAGAGGTCTCTTGTTGGCTGCTGAGGGGCCTCTTGGGAGTCTCGGATGTTCTCTTGGAGGGTGGGGCTCGCAATTCCAGTTGGATTGCCCCATCTTGGGCTCCTCTTGGAGCCATCTGGGAGGCCGTTGGGGCCGTCTTGGGTGCCTCTGGGACTGGTCTGGGACCCTCTTGGGCCGTCGTGGCGCCCTGTGGGGGGCCTTTTGGGCCGTGCAGGGGCGATCTTAGGGGCCCCTGAGGTCGTCAAAGATGGTGCGAAGACGAACAACACGAATGCAATAAAAATGCAAGTTCCACGAAACAGAATTGGATTAAGTTTGCCTCTCGGGGCCCTCGTGAGGCGTCTTCGAAACCTCTGAAGCCGTTGGAGACGTCCCGTGATCCGTCGAAACCGTCTTCAGGGTGGTTGGCGGCTGGCTGTGGCCGCTGTGACGCTCATCGGACCGCCCCCCGAGGCGATTTTGGGCGGATCTCCAGGACAAGCCTTTTCGAGCTTACTGTATTTCGAGGCTGTCGACAGCTGCTGCTTCAATGTGCACCCGATACACAGCCTAGGTCGAATACTTTGTAAATGAACTGCACCACGCCGAACAGATCACTTGCGATTGACCCGAAACCAATGAGGGCTGAAAGTGTCGAGTCCGCAGCGAAAGGCAGAGCGTATACTTTGATAAGACAAGTGGGCATGTACTGTATGAACTTGTCAATTAAAAGGAAGTCCATCATACCCTTCGTAGCAAGACCGCGCTCCAACGTAAGCCTTGCCTCGTGAGGGAGTGTGAGCAGTCCACCATGCACGGCTCTGAACTGAAGGACCATAGTCAAACAGACGAGCAGACCCATAGAAGCGGCCGCGAAAAAGTACTGGGTACTTGCGAAGGTGCACATGTTGTAAATATCCACCACCATATGTACCAGTGGATATCCAGCATTCATAGCTACTTCGAGGCGCGAAGCCAACTTTAACGTGGCCGCCTTCTTCTGTAATCTTTCGAGTGCCTGTCGACACTCGGACGGCGGCAAATTCGCTGCATAATCAACATGCAGCGTCAAGGCATCAATCTTGCCAAGCGTATCCTCGTCCGAGTTTCCATTGATTGGCGAAGTATAGCCACAGATAGACAAGGCATAAATCATCGGTACGGTTACAGCAAGCCATATCAGTGCCCCCCCCATTGAAACAAGTAAGAGTCCAAAACACACGTGGGGCAGCTGGATCTCAGAGAAAATGCCTGGTAAATTCAAGTCGGCCATGAAGTCTTGCAAATATTCTGGAAGTGGAAGCCATCCACTGCACAGCGGGAACAGCGCAAGAAGAAGCAAAACCCTCAACACATAGATCAGATAAATGTTCCTGGCCGGCTTCTGCTCGGGATGGAGTCGGAGTAAGGAAAAACCATCAACCGAAAACAGCAGCACTGGATATTTCAAGGGAGTAAGCAAGGATCCCGTTCGAAGAACCGCAGGCACATACCAAAGCAGCAGGACAGCGACAACCATAACCCAATGTCTGACGATAGCACACGCTGCAGCAAGGCAAACTGCGTTGGCCCAGAGCTCCAGCAAACGATACAGCGGCACTATTGCGGGGACGAGACGCCACCGCTGAAGCACAATGGCTGAAGCAGCAGCCTGGCGCGCTGGGAGACTGTACTGATGGACCAACTCATCAATACTACTCGTCTCAGAGAGATCGCTATCAGATCCTTCGTCTCCACTGCCACCAGTTCTAACTTCCACTGCGTCCAGTGTCTGGCGATCTTGACAAGGAAGCCTCTCATATACACACATATACATATGCCAATGCTGTCAAAGCAATAATGGAAGCAAAGAGGCTTGAGCCAACATGGCTTGAGCCAAAATGGCTACGGAGGTCGGCAGGTATGGATATATTGGGGCCCCATGGGGCCAAAATGTATGCACATCCACTGCATGCCGAGGTCCCCAAAATCGACCCCCCAAGCGGTGGTTATGGATACATCACCGCCTAGGAATGTGCGCGCCCCCAACCCCTGAGACCCGACGTTGCGGGCATCGCGAAAAACCACGACCCGGACCCAATCTTTTAAGCAGGGACCGACCGTCCCGGCATTCCTATAGGCCTGCCACGAGATGTTCTTAGAACCCACAAGTGTTGTAAGAACAGAAAAGATGTTCTTAGAACATAAGCCCGATGTGTTAAAACAAGACAATCCCAACGATAAACATTATGATAATACTTCGTGGAAACCACAAAACGCTCTTAGAACATTGTTTGGTAGGCCTATCGGCACGCCAGGACGCTTCGTCACTGCTTGAATCTTTCTGCGTCATTTTGCTAGCCAGATCGAGCCGTGATAGTCCAGGGACCCGAAGCCAGGCGCAGACGCCCAGTCGCCCGAGACGTCCTCAGAGAGAACGGCGGAATTCCCCAAAAACCGTGCGGTCACCTCGCATCCCCACCGAGTCACCACTCCAGCCCTCCTACGAATGGTTGCTCCTCCCCCTCCTCCTCCTCGTCCTCTTCCTCTTGCTCCTCCACATCCTCCTCCTCCTCAACTACTCGACTCTTCGACTCCTCACTCATCCTCTTCCTCTTCCTTCTTCTCCTCCTTCTCCTCCTCCTCCTCCTCCTCTTCCTCCTCCTCCTCTGGCCCTCCTCCACCTCCTCTTCCTCCTCCTCCTCCTCTTCCTCCTCCTCCTCCTCCTCTTCCTCTTACTCCTCCTCCTCCTCCACCTGCTCAACTCCTCGACTCCTCGACTCCTCACTCCTCCTCCTCCTCCTCCTCCTCCTCCTCCTCCTCCTCCTCCTCCTCCTCCTCCTCCTATGTTTGGTTTCTGGGCCATACCTCGGGTCTCGGGCGGCCGTTCGGGACGATCTGGACACCCCCGAAACGCCCTCGGCGAGGTAGCTGCTGGGACGCTCGCGAGGCTCGCTTGGACACCGCCAGGCGCAAACGGAAACGTCCGAATCCCTTCTGGTTCACCACACGATATGGCCACCGCACCGGCTGGGGGCCGCCGACCTTGGCACTGCCCGCGCCCCCTGCAGGGCCGACCTTGGCACTGGCGACCTTCGAACGTCCGAATCCCCAATGGCCTGGAATCGGCGATACATCGCAGACAGATCGGCGATGGGTCCCCGAGTTTCCAGTTTATGCCATTCTTCGTTCCCCCACGATTGGAGGTCGATGCATCTCTATCCTCTATCACCCCCCGATCGTTGCCCCTGGTTGGCAGGGGGGGCGGCGCCGCCTGCGCTCGCGGCGCCGGCGTCGCGGCCGAAGACGACGCCGAGCCCGCCCCAGGAGCCGCCGTGCACGGCGCCTCTCGGCGGCTGCGGGGGCCGGGCGCTGCACCACAGGCGGCCTCCTCCGCCTGCTCCTCCTCCGCCGGCTCCTCCTCCTCCTCCTCCTCCTCCTCTTGCTCCTCCTCCTCCTCCTCCTGCTCCTCCTCCTCCTGCTCTTCCTCCTCCTCCTCCCTCCCTCTCGATTCTCCCTCCCCCTCATTTCCTCCACACTCGATCCCCCTTGCTCCCCCCTCCTCGAGCCTCCCTCCCTCTTGGGCGACAAATGGCGGGCGACCCTCTGATCTGGGCGTTGCAACTTTTTCAGCGGCGAGTTTGCCTTGTTTCTGCCCCTGGACCAGCACGGATCGCTCCAGCTCGAAACATGCCGCATGGAGATTGAGTCTGGGGCACCGGTCTTGATTTTTCGCGATGTCGCAGCATCGGATGCTAGGGGGACGGTGCGCGAAAGGTCTGGGGGGCGAATAAACGTGCACCTATCGTGGCCCCTTCGGGGCCCCACAAGGCTCCTCTAGGTTCCTTACACGGTGCACGAACGGTGCGCTTCTAGAGGGAGAAACTACTACATAAGCATGATAAACTTTTTGAGGGTCCGCGAATATCTCTTGAATCTGCGCGAGGCCACCTTCCCTGGCGCGCGGAGCGCGTCAGGGGCGGCTCCGCAGTCGCCGCCAGGGAGGTCCCAGCGCAGGTCCAAGAAATTCTTGCGGAAAGCCCCACATGCAGTTTTTTCCTTCTTCGAACCTCTCTTCCCCCCCCCACCGCTTCCACCCCTCGTTCATCGCCCCACCCCCTGGTCAGGGGCGGCCAAGACAGGGGCGTCCAAGAGGGGAGGGCGCAAATCATGGCCGGCGGCACGTGCGCGGTCCAAGGGGGGGCCCATAACATTATGAAATGAGAAGACACGCCATGAAGTCTGAGGAAATATCATGGCCCACGCCATAATATCCTCCCCCCTCTAATCATCACCCCCTCTTTGCCTCCCCCCCGCTTTCACCCCTCATTCATCGCCCCCCCCCCTTGGTACGCAACGCCCGTGATGGGGGGGGGTGTCTGCGCGCGCGCCGGGATCTCGCCCGCGTGCTCGGGGCTCCCGCGGGAGGGGGGGGAGGGGGGAGGGACGGGCGGCTGCAGGAGAGGTCCCTCTCCAGCACGAGGGTAGGCTTCGGGCGCGAAATGACCGACCCCTTTATGGGGGAACGAGGAATGACAAAAACATACAAACTCTGAGGCCCGCGCGGATCTCCGAGTTTTTTATGCTTATGTCCTTCTTCGTTCGCCTGCCCTGGCCCCTTCCATGGCGCCACCCTCGCCGTGCAAGCGTTCCCTCCAGCCGCGCGCGCACGTCCTGAGGCGAGGCGGGGGGGACGTCGGGGCCGGGAACGGTTTGCGAGGGGTCGCTATAGGCCGCCCCCGGAAGGCTCGGAAGCAGCTCCTGGGGGGCACTCGGAGGAACGACTAATGCGGTCAAGCACTCGTGCTCAGCGTGTCGCCTGGGCGGCCACGGCGACGCGCGATGCGCGTCGCTCCGCTCTGCGGGGCGGGGGGCCAGGAACAGCTCGGGACCCAGACCCCCTCAGGCAATGAACAAAACCACGACGGGACGTTTTTCCATGTTCTCGGCCTCTGCAAGGCCCTTACCCAGGCCTCGGGGCCGCCAAGAAGCGGCTCAGGATGGTCGAGACCTCTGGGGGTCGACGCTATGACAAAACCATGACGTCGGGGGTCTGGGGGGCGGGCACCCGTCGAAACCTCGGCGACCACGAGCGCCCACGAGGCGCCCACGGGCGGGCGCCCGGCGAGACCTTGGCGACCCCCCCCCCGCGCTGGGCGCCCACGAGGTGCCCGCTGACGTCGGGGCTCTGGGGGCCACTGGCGCCCGGGGAGCGGGGCGCGGGCAGCATGCCGCGTCGGAGCGTGGCAGTCTGCAGAGCCGGCGGGGCGGCACGCTGTCCCCCAAGGGTTCCCGACCGCAGGGGCCAGTACAGTGTTCGGCCTGACCTGCGGAGCGATGAGTAAGGAACGCAGCCCCTGTGGGAAAAAACACACGTGGGGAAAAAACGCACACTGTGGGAAACAAAAACACACACGTGGGAAACAACACACACACACACACACACAACACACACACACACACACTGTGTGTGTGTTTCCCACAGTGTGTGTGTGTGTGTGTGTGTGTGCGTGCGTGCGTGCGTGCGTGCGTGCGTGCGTGCGTGCGTGCGTGCGTGCGTGTGTGTGTTTTCCCACAATGTGTGTTTTTTGCAGAGTAAGTCTGGGAAGTCCGAAGGAACACCAAGGGGGGTCGCCGCCAAAAAGGTAGCGGAACGCATGCTAACCAAAGGGACTACCGAGCCCCTTTTGAAAAGCAAGTGCTTCTGATTCAAGCCGGACCCTGTAAGCCCGATGGAAGGACCATGGGGCCAGGTGGGCCGATATCGAGCCCGGGATTAGGCTTCGGTCGGGCCTGACCTCCTGCAGGGGGATTGTTGGCCGATAAATTAAAAATAGCCAAACAATATTCAAACATACGCAAACATTGTCGAAACATCGTCCCCAAACTATTTTTTGCTATTTTTGAATTTTCCTCCTGTTGAGGGACAGGCCCGACTTAAGACTAGGCGGGTCCCCGCTAGGGGCTCCCAGAGGCAAGCACCCCAGAATCGAATCGAGAAGTCGGATCGGCGATCGCGATGAATCGGACTGGCGGGAATCGGCAGCCGAATCGGGAAGAGTCGGATCGTCGGAAGTCGGCAGGCTAGCAGGCCTCCATTGAGGGATCGGCATCCGAATCGGAATCCGAAGTCGAATCGCATCGGAATCGGAATCGGAGGCCACCGAAATCAAATCGAATCGAAGGAGTCCAAATGAGCCCTGCAGGGGGGGGTGCAAGCAGCTGCAGAAGAGGCCCCTCAGGCACGAAGAGGAACGGCAGTCGGAGGCGGGGAGTTCCCACCAGCCTGAGGTCGGGTATGTCCTCCTACAGGCGGATTTTGGACGAAACATACAATTAGTCCAAACATATTCAAACATTGCCACATGGATGACTATATATACATATATACTCTTATTTATTTCTGTACATACACACCATGTTTTCCAACCAGAAAAAAAAGCCTCATAGTCCTCCTGTAGAGGGACACGTCCGACTCAAACGTAGCGCGTCTCTTCGTCCATGTTCCCTCTTCCCTTTCGAGGGTCTGCCCCCCCCTCCCCCCTGGGTCTGGACGCGGGGGTGGGGTCGCGAGCTGTCCGAGCGTCTGTGACAGGTCTTCAACTCCTACGTGCCTCCTGGGGGGGGCAGGGCCAATAAGTAAGGACCCCCCTTCTTTGACCAGCGGCCTTAAGTCGGGCCTGTCCCCCTACAGGCGGACTTTGGACGAACAAAATAAAAAGAGTCAAACCATACGCAAGAAAATCTGAACTACTCAAAAAATCGTCCCTGGACTATTTTTGAATTTCCCCCCCGTAGAGGGACAGGCCCAGCTTAACAGGGGCCTCCAGGATGGCCCCAAGACGGCCCGAACAGCTCCCAAGAGTGCCCGCCGAGAGCCCCTGGAGACCCCGAGAGCGGAGGGGCCCGCAGGAGGCCCGCAGGAGGCCCCCAAGAAGCCCAACAGGGCCCCCAGGAAGCACCCGAGACGCCCCAAGAGATCCCCAGGGCGCCCCAAGAGGCCTCCAAGAGGCCCCCCACGACGCCCCAAGGGGCCTCCGAGAGGCCCCCGAGGCCCGAGGGGCATCCCACGCGACGCGAGAGGCATCCGCCGCGCACCCAGAAGTGAACTGTCCACACCCGCCGCCCGCCGAGAGCCGCGAAGAGAGCGATCCGCCGGGCGGCGGTCATGAGTAAACCCCCGCCTCGAGGACGGGGACGGGGGCACCGGCTCGGGGCAGGGGGGTGGCGAGGAAGCTCGGGTGATCCGAAAGGGGGTCCAGCCGGAAGGGGGTGGTGCAATGGGCCTGGGGCCATTGCATTGCGGATGTGCTGCGCCAGAGAACTGTGCGGCATTGTATCGCAACTCATGCATTTGCACGCGAAAATCTAGCAATACATCTGCGCCCTGGACGGTAGTGCACGCCCCAGATCTACTGCAACCCCACAGATCGATTGCACCAGACCCATTGCACCACCCCCCTGAAGCTGGACCCCCCTTTGGGTCAACCAGAGGAAGGCACTGACTTAGGATCGGCGACCAGCTCCCCGAGGGCGAAGCCGCGCGCTCCCGGGCGGGCGCCCAAGGGCGCTGATTGGGCGAGGAGGATCAAATCGGGCATGTCCCCCACAGGCGGAGTTTGAACGAAAAATGAACTTGACAAAAACTGCTCAAAAATATTCAAGGTTGTATTGAACAGCAAAACGTCCTCAGACGATCTCTGCATTATCTTTGAATGCTCCTCCTGTAAGAAGGGACAGGCCCAGCGTGAGAGCAGGGGCCGAGGCCCTGCGCCAGGCTGCCCGCCCGTGGGCGCCTCGTAGGCGCCTCGTGGTCGCCGAGGCTTCGGCTCGGCGCCCGCCCGTGGGCGCCTCGTGCGCGCCCCGTGCGCGGGGACGGTGTGCGCCACAGGTTCTGCCAGGCGTCCGCCCGTGGGCGCCTCGTGGGCGCACCGCGCGGGAGCATGCGCCGAGGTGTCGCCGCCTGCCCACCCTCTGGTGCCCACCCGTGGGCGCCTCGCGGGCACCCTTCGCTGGGAGGGGGCACACCGAGGTGTCGCCTGGTGCCCGCCAGTGGGCGCCACATGGCCTACACGACCCAGCTCAGACTGCACGGGTCACACCAAGCAGCCTGCAGACCATGGCTCGCACCACCGAGCTAGCACCGCTGAGCTCACACCGCATAGCTTGCGCCAAACAGCCTGCACCACGCACGCACTGCATGGTTTAAACAACCTAGCTCAGACAACACAGCTCACACCACCTAGCGTGCACAGCATGGCGTACACCACATAACTCAAACTGTGCAGCTCACATCGCATAGCTCAAACCACATAGGTCACGCCACATAGATCACAGCACATAGCT